TTTCCTCTTGTCCTATCACTTGTTACTTGGGAGAAGAGAGGGACCCCCACCTCGCTACAACGTCCTTTCAGGTAGTTGCAGAGAGTGATAAGGTCTCCCCTGAGCTTTCTTTTCTCCAGGCTAAACAACCCCAGTTCCCTCAGCCACTCCTCGTAAGACTTGTGCTCTAGACCCTTCCCCAGCTTCGTTGCCCTTCTTTGGACACGCTCCAGCACCTCAATGTCCTTCAGCTGGCTGTTGACCAACACCCCCAGGTCCTTTTCCGCCAGGCAGCTTTCCAGCCACTCTTCCCCAAGCCTGTAATGTTGCATGGGCTGTTGTGACCCAAGTGCAGGACCCGGCACTTGGCCTTGTTGAATCTCATACAGTTGGCTTCGGCCCATCGATCCAGCCTGTCCAGATCCCTCTGTAGAGCCTTCCTACCGTCCAGCAGATCGACACTCCCACCCAACTTGGTGTTGTCTGCAAACTTACTTAGGGTGCACTTGATCCCCTTGTCCAGGTCATTGATAAAGATATTAAACAGAACTGGCCCCAGTACTGAGCCCTGGGGAACACCACTTGTGACTGGCCGCCAGCTGGATTTAACTCCACTCACCACAACTCTTTGGGCCCAGCCATCCAGACAGTTTTTTACCCAGTGAAGCGTACTCCCATCCAAGCCATGAGCAGCCAGTTTCTCCAGGAGGATGCTGTGGGAAACAATGTCAAAGGCTTTACTGAAGTCCAGGTAGACAACATCCACAGCCTTTCCCTCATCCACTAAGCGGGTCACCTTGTCACAGGAGGAGATCAGGTTAGTCGAGCAGGACATGCCTTTCATAAACCCATGCTGACTGGGCCTTATCCCCTGGCTGTCCTGTACATGTTGTATGATGGCACTCAGGACGATCTGCTCCATAACCTTCCCTGGCACCGAGGTCAGGTTGACAGGCCTATAGTTCCCCGGGTCCTCCTTCCAGCCATCCTTGTAGATGGGCATCACATTTGCTAACCTCCAGTTGACTGGAACCTCCCTGGTTAGCCAGGACTGCTGAGAGATGATGGAAAGTGGCTTGGTGAGCACTCCACCAGCTCCCTCAGTACTCTTGGGTGGATCCCATCCAGCCTCATAGACTTGTGTTTGTCTATGTGATGTAGCAGGTCACAAACCATTTCCCCTTGGATTATGGGGGCTTCATTCTGCTCCCTGTCCCTGTCTTCCAGCTCAGGGGGCTGGGTACCCCAAGAACAGCTGGGAAGTATGAGACAAATGAACCAAGAGAAAGCAATTTAACAGAAAAAATTATCCAATAACTCAGGCATATGACAATTTTGTGAGCACCCTGGAAAAGTACAATCTCATCATTGAGATAGAGAGCTCTACTGGGTGAAATGATCTAGCCTGACATATAGGGGATGTGCAAGTAGGTTGCCAGCTACTCTTCCATACCTAGTATAGCACATAGAAAAGGGGGATGTTGAAAGTAATTAAAAGCAGAAAATTGTCATAAATTTCTTGAAGGAAACAGAAGGATGGAAAGAACATATTATGGTCAGCAAACTTGAGAACAAAGATATGAACAACGTGATACAACTTTTTTTGGTTTTGTTATGAGGAGTGTGTATATTGGGACGAAAAGAATCTTAACAATGGATTAGTAGAGGGAGATGGTAGAACTATCAGTAATGCAAAGAAGGTTGGAATTCAATAAATATTTCTCATTTTATGAGGACTTCAGACCTTTTTCCCATCTCGCCTGCACATGAGATGGTTGGCATTGCTCTCTCCAATAATCTGTTCCCCATTTGCTGCCACTCTTGGCTTGAGCAATTGCTCTGGTTGCTCTCTCATAGAAACGTTATATTATGTTGTAAGAAATGGATTTCACCAAACTGACTTACTGTTTTCATTTGTGTTTGGTTGATTAAGGTAGTGGATTGATATAGTGGATTTAGAATTGTATAAAGCATCCGACTTGATACTGCAGCATGTTTTGGCTAAGAAGCTACAAAGCCATCAAATCAGCTGGACACAAATTGAAGGAATTAAACACTAGTTAACTGACAGGCTTCAAAAAATCTCATCGTCTGATTGATAGAAATGCTTCCAAAAGGGTTCTGCAAGAAAGGGTTCTGTGAGGATCATTCCTCCTACTGCCTGGTTTACTGTTTAGTAATGTCCAAGAAAGAGTCATAAAATGATTTCTGATGAAATCTGCAGAATCCACTAAGACATGCAGAGTTGAAAATATTAAGCCATAGCTACGTATGGTTGATCTATAATGATGTGATCTGAAGAACAAACAAAAAACAACAGTGCGGTGTAAGGCTGTTATCTAGAAGATTCTATGCTTCATGAAAAATAAAAGACAAACAAAAAAATCCACACATCCCCCCAACTATGTGTAACAAGAACAAAGCAGATTAATGCCCTATATTTAGTTTTTAGTGTTTTTTCTTGTCTTTGAGGATATGTTAGTTCCAATGAGACATTTAGATCTCCGACCCCTTGCTGTGTTACTTTTCACTAGAAGATATTTCTGCCTTTTTTTGAGTCCTATGGTACTGTCTTTCCACCTTGCCTGTGGGAGCCCATTCTGCTGCCCTTTGGTTACAGCAGAACTAGACTATTTATTATGGAGTTTTTGTGTTAACAGACTCACCACACTTTGACTGAGGAATGCCTTGTAGTTACCCAGTCACCTTGAATCACACTTAAAGCAAAGTAGGATGAGGTAAAATGCAAATAGATGTAATTCATTACATCTAAAGTAGACAACACAATTACAAGTATCTGGAAAAGACATCAGTGAAAGAATAGAAGAAAAAGTTCATCTGATCTACTGACACTGAATGTATCACAAAGGTGTTTTTTGTTTTGGCTTTTTTCCACCCTTTTTCATTTCCAGGTGCCTTGTCCCTCTTCTGGCAAAATGGCTCTGAGAATTTTTTTTCCTTCTATTCCTCAGATTACTCTTAGGTGATTTTCATCGTTGGAGACCTTGCATTACACAGAACTGCATATTGGGGTCACCCATCAGAAAACATCTTCAGAAGAAGCCTTTGGGCTTCACCTTCAGGTACTTCTCTGAATTGTCATGTTGACCTCACTTGTTGATGGATGGTTTTAGCTCTTACAGCCAGTCTGCACTTTGAAGTTTTCTAAGGGGTCCAGACAGATTTAATCTGTCACCTTGGAGCTCATTCTATCCCTCCTTATAGTCTGACCGTTGTCCTGAATTAAAATAAGGATTCTTTTGCTTCTACAAATATGTAAATGTCTTAGGAGTGTCTTATGGTGGACCTTATATTCTGTACCAGTAATTTCATTAACAAATATATACGATACAAGTATCTAAATAGGGTAAATAATCTAGTTCATTGTTGTGGTTTAACCTGTCAGGCAGCTAAACACCACACAGCTGTTTGTTCACTCCACCACCCCCCCTAGGATGGGGGAGAGAATTGGGAAAAAAAGTAAAATTAATGGGTTGAGATAAAGACAGTTTAATAGGACAGAAAAGGAAGGGATACCAATAATAATAATGATAAAAGAATATACAAAATAAGTGATGCACAATGCAATTGGTCGCTGCCTGCCAATCGATGCCCAGCCGGTTCCTGAGCAGTGGTCACTGCCCCCTGGCCAGCTCCCCCCAGTTTATATACTGAGCATGACGTCATACAGTATGGAATAGCCCCTTGGCCAGTCTGGGTCAGCTGTCCTGGCTGTGCCCCCTCCCACCTTCGTGTGCACCGGGCAGAGCATGGGAAGCTGAAAAAGCCCTAGACTAGTGTAAGCACTACTTAGCAACAACTAAACCATCAGTGTGTTATCAACGTTATTCTCATACTAAATCCAAAACACAGCACTATACCAGCTACTAGGAAAACAAAACAAAAAAATGCTGTCCCAGCCGAAAACAGGACATTCATTTTCTGATTCCTGAGACAGCTATGATAACAATAACTACCGTGAGGTGACAGCATTTAAGGTACATGAAGCCCAACCTCTTTCTCCTAAGCAGACTCCTGACAAGGAGTCCCTGTACAGAATTGTTCAGTGTCATATTTATTTTAATTATACACTGTGTGAAACTGGGTCTTCAGAGCACTGCAGAAAAAGAATAAAAAGAGATCACTCAATCTTGGACCTCATGAGATCAATGAACAATCTGATTGACTTTAGCTGGCCTTGAAAACAGCCTTTGGTGCATCAGAAGTCAATAGATCGCACACTGAAGGGAGAATTGGCATGCAGTGAAGAAAAGGTTAAAGGCCAAAGATCAACCCATATTTTTTCTTGTAGCCTTTATAATGGTCTTATGCAGCCAAGAAAATGCAAAAATATTGGCTAAATGCCATCATGTGTAAAAATACTGCGTTCATTTGAGTGAGTATTGTAACAGGTTAATGTAAACACAAGTAAATTGTTAATATATGTGACTGCAGGCTTGTTCATAATGATGTTTACAGGTCAGGGATAGTGAACAGTCATCCCTCTCTGTTTCTCAGGTGATGCCTACACTAATGGAGATTTAATAATTAGTAATGCCATTAACTGTATGAGTTTGAAGATATTCTGGTAAAGACGTGTGATGTAATAATGACCTATCAGCCCTGAAAGGAAGAAGCCTTGTGTGCAAGTACATTTTCAGCAATTTAACTGGGGCTGCCTCTACTGCTGTCTCAGAACACAGAGGGAACCAGTTTCCATTATGGCAGCTGGGGTTTATGTACATCCATAGGGATGGGGAGCACCACAAATAACTTCCAGAGTGGTCCTGTTGCATCTTTGTAAAAACAAAAACAAAAAAAAGTTGAAGTTAATCAAGAAATCCAAGCAAAGATGTTTTTATTGCCAGCAGGGTCAGGGTGAAAAATTGAGAAGTGGAAAAAGAAGACGGTGTTGCTTGACTTTTGATGGTGCAGACTTTATCGGACTGAAATAGAATGTCATGTTTGCCAGTAGTTATGGTTTTGCGCTTAATTTTGCTACTTCAAATAAAAAGTGATGAAAAGCATGCTGATGAAGAGCTTTCTAATGGGGGCAACACAGTAAGATTGCACAGAGAACTTCGAGAGCTCTCTTTCCAGGAAGCGCAAGGGGACAGAACGAGTGAGCACAGGAGAGGGAATACATTGATTGTTGGACTGCGTTGGCCTTCTCTCCTTTTATCTGCGAACATGGAACATCTCCTTTTCTGTTGTTTCCTCTGCTGCTTCTGTATGCTTCCTGCTGTAGTGAACCATTTTGAGGCTTTTATGCTGCAGCAGCAATGGCAGCAAACATATATACACCGCAGTGTCTTTGGGAGAGAGAGAATGGGAGAACTAACCTATTATTAGTTGTTAGGATTCTCTGCTGGCATGTGGTAGAGTTTCTCCTGCACTGAATATTGATTTATTTGTACAAAGTGGAAAGCTTTGGGGCAAGATATGGGAACAATCTCATCCTGAATGCATCACAGGTTTGCGGATAGGCCCGGTGCAGGTTACAGAAAACTTTGTACTCCCAGACTCCAACAAGTAAGGTTATTTATTTAAAAAATACATCTCTCTAATCCTAAATGAAGTTATTGTTACGCAATGTGATGAGACAGATGAGTTTGCTTGGCAGGAACATCAGCTTTAGATGAGGAGAAGGGAGGAGTATTTGCTCATACACAGTTCATTGTTCTGAGAAAGGGGGGAATTTTATAATACTTTGAAATGGTCATATTATTTGTCTGTCTGTTTGGTTTAACAGTATAATTGTGGTGAGTTTTTTTCATAGGAGAATTTTTACTTATTAGCAGAGCCTGTTTTTATAGGTCTTGAAAGGTCTTTCTGTTATCACAAATTCTGTAAGAGAATACCATGTTATCTTTGCTATATCAGTCATACAAAATCTAACTTGTATTATCTTTCCTTGTTGACAGAAAGGCAGATTTCCACTTTAGAGATCACATCATCCTCCTTCCTGTGAAAATAATATGAACCAGAAGGTGTTAGTTTTCCTTCTCCCAAATTTTATTTTTGCGATATTTCTTTTTGGGTTTTTCTGTAAGAGACAAAAAAACCTAACAGGTGAGTAAAGAATTTACCAACAGAAAGACTTAATGTTTTCTGGAACCAGGGACACCTTTCCCAAATGTGTTAGAAAGTAACTATGGAGCCTAAGTGATAAACAATACCATGAAAATATCCAGGGCCCTGTCACTGTGATAGCTATCTTAGCAATGTATGACAGGAAGAGCACTACAAAAGCCAGCTGACATTAGAAGCGTTAGAACATCCATCTTGCTTAGAGTAATATTGATAACGTTGAAAGTTTTCATTTTAACAAACTTTTCACTAAGCAGGATAGTTTATTGCATGTTTGCCACAGTGGAGTCCGGTGACAGTAAACAAAAAATTTATTTTAGCATTTTCATTAGTTTTTGTATGCAGGGAGATAGACTGAGTGCTATGGTTGACACAAAAGAAGAGACTTATATAAGTCTATTTCACACTAATAGTTTAAATTTCTTCCTTGGTTGCAGGTGCTTTTCCTGATCCCACTGAAGATTGGCTGGCAATTCAAAATGATCGCAAAAGCACACTGGCTTCTGTCTGCCTGAAGAATGACCTTCGTAAATTAAGAAGCAAATGGGATTCTCATGTTGCAAACCAGCTCTTTGTGGAGCACAAACATAAATTTATCTACTGTGAGGTGCCCAAGGTAGGCTGCTCCAACTGGAAGAGAACTATTTTTCTTCTCCAAGCAGACTTGAATGCAGAAGCTTCTGAAATTGAGCATGACCACATCCACCAAACCTCGCTGATCAAAAAGCTGGTGACTTACCCTCCTGCCATACAAAAGGAATTTCTGAACAATTACACCAAAGTGATGTTCACCAGACATCCCTTGGAACGGCTGGTTTCAGCTTACAGAGACAAACTTCTGCACTCTGAGCCATTCTACAGTATCACTGTTGCTAATGAGATTAGGGCAATGTTCAGGAAAACAAAAAATTCTTCTGAAAAAGTGAGTTTCCAGGAGTTTGTCAACTTCATTATAGCAAAACCACCAAATACTCTTGACATTCACTGGAAACCAATGTTTCTGCTCTGTGATCCTTGCAACATTCACTATGATATTCTGGGTAAGTATGAAACTCTTGGGTTAGATTCTGAGCATGTTCTGAAGGTCATTGGAGCACCAGAGAGCCTGCACTACCCCAGCTTGAAGAGGTATGGCTCAGAGAAACGAACTAACGGTGATATCACCTTGGAGTATCTCAGACAATTGAACTCAGAACAAATCGAGAAGATCAAAAAATTGTATCAAATGGATTTTTTCTTGTTCAACTATACTATGAAATATGAGGATTATTTTTCCCTGAATGACTAATGTAGGTTAAAAAAAGAACGGTTTCCTTTGTACAAAATGGGCTGAACTTGTCCTCACAGGTGCTTGATAGGTGGGTTGGTGACTGCTGCTGAGATTTTACTGGTGTTTGGAGACATGGTTTATCATCCTAAGCACTCTTATAACAAATCCCTGCCATGATCTGTTGTACTGTAGAGTACTTTACCTATCTGAAATTATTGTCTTTCTGTTGATCATTAATGGCATATATTTGTTTCATGAAGACTGTTTATAAATGATAGATTTTGGTTTGTTGGTAAGAGATAGGGGAAGGATGAAGAATGTTGTTTTTCACAATTAATATTTTTAGAACACCTTTTTCTAATATACATTATTTTAATTTTTTATTAGAAAAAGATATACGAAGCAATAAATAATCTGCTTTAGATTATTTCAATCATGGATCCTGTAGGAAAGGAGCAAATTACTTCAGATGCTTGAAGCTGCATTACACAGAACTTAATGCCTGATTATATTCCCCTCTGGCAGTGCTCTCACCTCAGCCCACCAGTCTCATCCCTCAAGCAGCACAGTTGGCAGCAATCCAGCCAGGGTTTCCCTTATACCTCTTCCAAATCTTCTGATAAGCAGGTCTGGTGTTCACGGTGACTTTGCAAACTCTTTTCAACACCTTTGTGAGCGTTATGGTCTGATTTAAGCAGGAAGGTCTGAAAAATGTATCTTTTTTTAGAGAACTAGTTAGAGGTACCTTCTAAACTGTACAACTGGGGTGGTGCAGGATCTAAAATCTCAGTGGGAAGGTGACTCTCACCTATTCTCCAAAAGCACTTACCACTCAGGCAACTGACTGGCCAGTCTGAAGAGGGGGGACAATGTTTGGGCTTTCCCCATTTGTGCCTGCTGGAGCCCATGAGCCCTTGGGACTTACCTGAGCATGGCACTTAGGTGGAGCTGGGTAACCTCAGATAATACATTTGTTCTACCTGTTGCTTTCTCACCTCATGGGAGATTGAGTGCAAAGAAACTGTAGAATTATGGTGAGGGAAGCAATGAAGCATGTGGGAGAAGCAATTCAAACCATTATCCACTTCTTGTATTCCTAGGTGGCTTTGGTTTTAGATCACTGAGGGGTCTATAACTGCTGCTATATTAACTACGAGGCTTTCCCCATTTTTTTAAAAATCTATTGCCTAGTCACATTGAAAATTAATTTGTGACCATATTAATTGTAGCAAGTTTTAGAAACTAATTATGTACTACCTTTAGGGGATGTCAGTCTCTCAGGAGCTGACTTGAAAATCTGTCAAATGCACTTAGTTCCTATCAGCTATATCTGCAAATGTACAAAGGCTGGCAGGCTAGTCTTGGCTCCAAAGCTGGCTCACAGCTTCTCATTACATAGAAAAGGACAGGGACAAAATAACTTAATCATGCTGCAGTCACCAATCTGTATAGCCATTGCTGCCAGCAGCATGGCCAAGGGAGAGGGAAAAGGGGACTGGGAAAAATGGATGTGATGGGATTTGTTTGAGTCATGAGGGTTGTGAAGAGAGCTCCCAGTGCAGGGAGTGGGATGCAGGGGTGGTCTACCCCAGAGGGAAGATGCAGTGATATATTGGACATCAGCTGGAGACACCGATGAGACCATGGTGGCAGGAGGAGGCAGAGGAAGAAGCTTTCTGCGTCTCTCCTTGACGGCAGATGCTACACAAAGCCAGGACTACTGTTCAGTACACCTGGCAGCTCTTGCACAGCTGACTGTTCCATAAACGGGGCAGCTTTGGCACAGGGAGAGATTCAAAGTGAGAAGACCAAGCAAGAACAGCAAAATTATTATTTTTTTTTACATAGCTTGTGATTTTATGCAGAGTGATTCATGGTTCTGGATCTTACCCCCACCACCACCATATTTGGTGTCCCCACAGTCCTGCTATCCCCCGACACTGGATCGCTCATGCTGCCCTGGCAACCCTGTAGTTCACATGGATTTTTTTTTTACTTTTTAATTTTGATGAGGCAGAGGAAGCTGGAAATGACTCCCATCAAAGTTAAGGCTATACAGAGGGATGCAGTCTCTCTCTCCCTCTCTCTGTCTTTCCTGAATCAGAGCCATCTCCAGCTACGTGCTTCTCCTGCTTTCTTTGCCAGACCATGCAGAGGAAGAGGGGAATAAGATTTGCTTCATAACTTGCTTCTACGTGATAGATCCCTCCAAAGCTGTAAGCTTCAGCAAAGATACTTTAATTTTCTGGCACCATCAGCCAGCCTAGGAAAACTGAAGAAATGATACTGACAGTGTCTGAGAGGCGTCTTTGCTATCGGCAGTCTAGTGTTAATACTCCTCTCCAGTTTCTTGCTGTTAGATATGAGTGGCTTTCTATTCTTATTTCCTCTTTCAAACAGGATCACATATTTTTCCTATGTTGGTGACAAAAAACGGATGGCTAATTCATTTGTCACAAGCACTAGTCAGTAACAGAAGGCTATCTATTGATGTAGAAAAATCTCTGTAACTATTCATGACGGACTTTCAGATCTGACATTTGCCTATAGGAAACTGTAAGTAGCACATTGCCCAGAACCACTGGCTTCTGTAACGCTGTTTAGCTGATGTGGGTCTCGCACAAAAAACTGCAGCAGACATGTGTGTGCATGTGTGTATATATAACAACTCTTTTAGGAAGTAGTGTCATACAAGAACAGTATAAATTGTGCATTACCAGCGCTAATAAAATTAGAATAATGGGTTGATATCTGTTGGAAAATAGTAAAAAGGGACATTACCTTATAAAGGATCTTGTAACATTCCCCTGCAGGCATCTTTTAATGCTCAACCCAAGTTACTGCATTTCCATTTCTGTGAGCTTGAGAATACTCCCTAACACTCCCCCCACCCACGAGTTGCTGTGCAGTGGCGCAGGAGGACATAAGAGCTCTGCAATATGTTTCAGAGTTAATGAAAACAATGGCAACTTGCTCCATGTTGTAAAAAGCTTTCACAGCTTGCGAAGATGGGCGTGGAAGTTTGGGCTGAGCTCAAAAAACGAGTCTGCAGGAGAGAATTGCAAGGTCTTTAGTACTTGCGTTGAATTGGCTGTATTTTTCAGTGATAGCTGTCAAGTGGCAATGCTTGCAGAAAACTCTGGTCTATAATATTTCCTAACAGATGAGCGACTGCCCATTGCCCAGAGCAGAGTGGGGACTGTACCACCCTGTTTATTCCCCAGGTGAACCCCAAGGCTCATTCCACTGGACAGCATTGTAAGTTCGCCAATGAAAGGGCTTACTGTTATTTCATTCTTGATGTTGTAATGTAATAAAAGTTGATGAAGGCTCTGGACCTTGTCGTAGCCAGCCCACAAGAACAGCAAGACATCTGTAAACTTTGTGATGAAAATGATGACTGTCTCTTCATGGCTTGAGAGAGAGATTTCCCGTACTGCCTTCCCTACAAGTGTACTGTCCGGAACAAAGGCTCTGAGCTGAGCCAGCCTCCCTCCTGCCTTTGCCGAGAGAAGAACCTCCAGTGGAGCTTCTTTAGTTTGGGTGCTAACCCTGGGTGATGTTTTCCTGGGAGGAAAGTGGGTGCTTGCAGTTGGGAGCAGGGGTGGAGGCGACGTGACATGGCACGGCTTGGGGCTCAGGCCCTGGGGTGGATTAGAAGGGGTAGGCGTTGCCATAATTAATCTTCTGATTTATTGTTGTATGCCTGTGATATGACAGTTGGCTATGTTTGATTTCTAATTACTGTAATAAACTGCAGTGAGTTAACACACTAATCTATTTACTCATCCTTCTCAATAACATCTGTTTAAAAAAAAAAAGACTTGGAGCTGTCCCATCAAATCATAACATAGGCCACACGCTGTTAGACAGCAATAAGTACAAAGCCATTTGGCTCTGCTTTGGTACGTTAGTATAAAGCTGTCTCACAGGACTCTTAAAGAATTGAAAGAATTAGCAAATCCTAATGAGTGTTCCAGTTTGGAGAAAAGATGGAGCTAAGGAAAGGAAGAGAAACAAAAAATCGTTCAGTCAAGCTTGCAGCTTTCCTACAACTCTATCTATCAGCAGTGAGGAAATAAGAGAGAATTTTCCCATTCTCATGGATATGCACACACACATCCTTTTAGGACAGGTATCCACAAACCTGACATCATACTTTCTTCGTGAAAGTATAAGAGATGTGATAGTTGATCAGCATATGTCAGCGGTGGAGACCATGTCACCAGTTGTTCCTTGAAGCAGACATTTTCTCCACTTAAAAGTGATGATTCTGCCCATAAGCAGTCCTAATTTTTCACACAATTTTGAGTGTGAGTCTTAACAGGTAAACTGCGATTAGTGGTTTCTTGTTCAGAGAACTTCCCAAAGCAGGACAGCTGTGAACAGAATAAAAGGTGTCCACCGAAGAACAGCACGAGCAATGAAACTTCGAGTATCCGCTGCTCCACAGAGGTGTCCTCTGACCAAGGGGAAGAAGAGCAAACCCCACCTGTGCAAGTCACTGCGCACCGAACAAACTGCAGCCCTCAAGGCTCGCAGCTAGAAGGTGATTCTCTTTCTGCATTCGGACTGTTAATACATCAAAAGCTTTTAGCTCTACAATCTCCAGTGTTCTTGGCTTGTCTGTCATAGCGGTAGAACAAGAAAAGGAAAAGGGAAACAGGAAAAGGAAAAGACACTAGTGCTCTGTGATCGTGGTGCAGGCCTGGCATGACTTCTCCCTGTCACAGCACTTCTTATCTCCCTTCCTTCCAGAATTATATGCTAGGTCACGCTTTAGTGTAAAACAAAAAGTTATTAAATTATATAACTTACATATATTAATGTAAACTAAATAAAATCAAAACAGGCAGAGAATTTACCTGGTAGAAGTGTCTGAAATTTCAGGAAGCCCTCTTGGAAGTTGTGACCGGGTATCGAATGTACACAGGTGTGCAGTTACAATGCTGCTTCTAGTAAGAACTATTTTTAAAGAAAAAGCTCAAGTGATCATAAATCTCAGTCAGTATACTGAGACTAAAATTCCAGTGAATCAGCAGATCAAAAATTAATGGTACATCACAGGATGAGGTCTGTGAAAAGGAACCGGCTCAACACCGTTTCAGCACTACCCATGTATGCCTCACCTTTGCTCACAACTACTAGAACACTTTCTTCATACCTCCAGGATCCTTCTTGTAGCTTCTTCTGGAGATGTACCAAAGCTTAGCAAGATGAAAGCGCTTTCTCAAAAA